TCAAATAAACAGCAAGAGGCAAGTGTATGAAAGTCCCACAACAGAATGGAATCATATTGTCAACACGGCTTACCTTCAAATGACATCACAGCCAGCCCTAGTGTACAGATCCCCCTGCGAGACCATCTGTCTAAGGTGATTCAGTTGAATTTGGTCTTCTTATTAATACTTTATGAACAACAACAACACACAGTTCCGTGGGTGGGGATGTCCAACCATGCAAATTTTCCTGCACTGAAGCGGTGGTTGAAATTCATACTTGAGCTCTCCAACTGATTTGGGGCAAAACAATCCAGGAGAGTTTACTCTTCCTGAATCGACAAGAAAGCAAGTCAAGGATCTTCTGAGCACGCATTAGAATGCCACTATAGGAAATGGCCAAAATCCTGGGTTTTTATGAATCAGGACCTTGCTTAGAGGGAACCACAAAATAAAAAAAAGACAAGGGGACATTCTCATGTGTTGTTCCCCCACTGACAGTATGAAGCACGCTATATGAGAAAATCATCCGACAGTGAGATGCATATGTAAATGACTGTGACTAGAGAGGCCAGATGATGAGCAGGTCTCCTCCAGTCTATGACGTCTGCTGCCAGATGTTCGCAAACCAAAAAACAGCAAGAAGGACAATTCAGCCCAGATGTTCTCTTCGAAATCATCTTGGGCTATAGCTCTACAGGACATACCTCACCTTGCCAAACCTGTGAAAGTCATGGTATTCCAGGAGAAATTTGATCAATAGAGCCCCCCCTGATCAAACAGTATCTCCTAAACCGCAGCGTAAACAGAGAGTGTGCAAGGTTCAAAAGATGTAATACTTACCAAGCACCTGGTGTAAAAGGCATAAACAGTGTATAAATATGTTACATCTTTTACATCTTGTAAATGTAAATGTCTATGTTACTTGTCCAGGTTTTTGTAAAACCTTATTGTAAAAGCACACATTTCCAAGAACTGCTACATATCTTTACCAACAAGCATAAGCAACCTCAGCAGACAGAAAATTGTTTCTTGTGGAGCTCTTCACAGACTGAAGTTCACTTTCATATTTATAAACTACCCCCAGAGAAATCAGAGTATGACAAGGTACACAAGAACACAATCTCACATTACTATGTTAATGAGGTAAGGCCTTGAAATTTTAACCTCTTAAGGTGGGCTGCGGTTTCTGGTTTCAATAAAGTGATCTTTTCCCCCAGTTCATGTCTCTGGAGAGTTCTCACACCCTTTGTGATGGTGTTCTGCACAGCCAAGGGAAAAAAAAC